TTCTACATTATATAGTATATGATTTAATCTTCAATTATCTGAAAAACCTCATAATCATTAATCAAAAATTCATTACTTTCACCTTCCTGTATAATACTGTTTTCATAACTTTTTTTATAACAAAAACCAGTTTTCTCTTTAATTATTAAATCACCACCATTACCAAAACAAGGACCAGCGTAAATTCGTTGATAAATAGCATATTTATCATCTTTAATCTTACTAACAATAGATTGATTAGCAAGTTTTGGGTCTAGAGAAAAAATAAAACTTTCATTAGTTCGCTCATAATTGTCCATGGAATGACTAATAAATCTTGAATGCCAGTCTAAAGGATTATAACCGCCAATAATTTTCTTTTTTGTAGTATGAATAACGGTAACGGTAGGACCTTTTTGGTCGCAATAAGCGTGAAACATTTTTGGAGTGAAACCATCGTGACTTCCTCGTAATAACAATTTAAATTTATAAGATGGAGGATTAGTAGAAACCGAGCCAGCTAAGTTAGAAACATCTTTAGATTCAGTGATCCATTTAGAAATCAAGGCCATATGCTGCATAGAAATTATCTTTGAATCCAAATTTGGTTGAACAGGCTTATTAAAAAGCGTATTTTCACGAAGTTGAGCGAAGCTATGATATTCCAAGATTTGTATATAATGTTCTACATCAAAAATTCTGCGAAAAGGTCTAATTTTATGAAAAAAATCATCAGGGCTTATAAAAATAAGATTAATATATTCAATGAAAGGCTTCGCCAAAGCACCAAAAGTTGATATATCATCGATCGTCCATTGCGATATGTCGTGAGGTAATGAAGGAGTGTTTACAATTGACCATTCCAATAACTTATTCCATAAATCTATTTCTCTGAATTGAGAATGACAATCACGATAGATGGATAATAACACATCATGTTCTATGTCAGTGAAATCGTTAGCGTTAAACAATGCGCCGGGATCTTGACTGAGAATTTTTTCACATAAAGCAGAGAATTTTTCAAAACGATGTTGATTCGCTATTCGATGTGAAAGAACGAAATTTTGTTTTATCGAAGATCTGACATTATAATCTACAAGATGTTCTTCGAGATGGTCACATAATTCAGTAAGAGCTAATTCATCAGCCGCTGGAAGTAATTCGATGAGAATTCTTGGATCCGTTCTTGTAAGATCAATAGTTCCACTATAAACATAACTGAAAATAAATAAAC